GTCTAGGGACGTCATTTGTGGTCGCGCTTTAGTCTTAGTCTCCCATTGCTTCCTGGCCAGCGACTCTTGATATAATATTTCCATGAAAATGCTTCATATATGAAATACAATTGCGGTTTAGAAGATAGCATTGAAAGATTAAGCGCAGCGAAAAGTAGATTGTTTTAGAAGATTACTTTTTTAAAGGCAGACTGTAAGACTGGTTTGCATGTCCAATTTGTGACCCTTTGGAAATAAAGTTCCTTCGTTCTTTGGTTCGTTCTCAGTCTATGGCTCTTTCTTTGTCTTTTCTTTTTCTTCTTTACTTCTGTTTACGGGGAGAGGAGTGTGTCCATTCTTTTTTTTCCTACAACGGTGCCCTGTATCTCGTACAAAGATATCAAATCAATGGGAGAAATTACATATTTTTTTATGAGATGTGGAATCATATACTTTTTTTTGCAGTTACTTAAGATGAACATCCGGGATCCTGAGGTCAAATGAAAAATGCCTTAAATTAGGAAGCAAAAAAATACCAAACACCCTAGATGTTCACAGAAGCATTATCATCCTCCCATTGTGAAGCTATAAGTCATTTAGGGCTCGAATTCTAGTCTCTTTCTAGTTACAAGTCACTTAGTGTTCAAGATCTAGTCTTTCTGTAGTTAAAAGTCACTTAGGGCTCGAAGTCTATACTTTCTGTAGTTATAGGTCACTTAGAGCTCCAAGTCTAGTTTTTCTGTAGTTACAAGTCACTTAGAGCTCGAAGACCAGTCTTTCTATAGTTATAAGTCACTTAGGGCTCGGTCTAGTCTTTCTATAGTTATAAGTCACTTAGGGCTTGAAGTCTAGTCTTTCCCTAGTTACAAACTAATTAGGGTTCGAGATCTAGTCTTTCTGCAGTTATAAGTCCCGTGATATTCTTAGAACCCTTCTATAACATATGTATTCAAATGCATTTATGCGCTTTCAGCTTGTTCAGTAAGTGTCCAGGTCTCAAAGGCCTAGGTCGTGTATAGGGTGAAAATCCGGCTTTACGCGGATTTGAACACACGATCTTCGGATCTGCCTGCCAGCCTTTAATTTTGAAACATTTGAAAATTAAATTCGTTCGTTCCTTTGTTCGTTCTACGATAGTGTCTATTAGACTGAAATATTTTAGTCAAAGAAAATGTCGACGTGGTTTTGAAAAAAAAAAAAAAAAAAAAGACAGTCGTAAATAGAGTGTTTTTTGGAGGAGTGGGGGTGGGAGAAATGTCAGTCCAAACTAGGAGTAAAACTGGAAACAGAGACTAAACGATCAGTTCAACGGTATAGAACAGTTAAATAGAGACAGAGAAGAATATACATATAAAGTATAATATGTCATATTTCATGGGGAAAAATACAGATTGGAAGTGAAAGAAATACAAAAGAAACAGTTGAGATATGTTATCTCCATTAAAAGAAAAAGCGAATCTCTAAAAACATTTCTGGAGGGAAAAGTCGAGGTATACAACGATAGCGGAGAGGCCAGAATATCAAGAGATGGATGAACACTGACTGACTTTCTACCCACCAGGACATCACACAAGCGATAAACACCCGATGATACAATTTGCAACCATGTGGGTGAGAATCACCGTGGAGAGGTCCCAGAAACCGCGTTCAGCCTCAGGCCATATTTAAGGCCAGACTATATTGCGGCCCCTGTCAAGAACCAGATTAGGGCTTCAAATAACGAAAAATGTCATCCTAAAAAGGGCGAGAAGTAGTGATAAGCTGGATGAACACCAGTCTGAGAGAGATTATTTACAGCAATCTCCATTGTGGAGATGGCACTTGATTGGTTGATTTTGGGGCAAGCCACGGAAACTGCTATCCTGTGTGTTAAAGCTACTATTACAAGTATTAGAACCGCTGCCTTGCATTTATAACTGGCGCTTCGACGCCGATTGTCCATGATGCAGTTATACAAGTTTCAAAACCGCTGCCTTAGATAAATGGTACCTCGCCGCCATTTCCAATTTTACGGCCCAACGGTTAACCGTCTCCTGGGTTACTATGAAGCCGCTTCAATATCTCCTTAGAGACGTTTTAAAATGAGGCTTTATTGAAGGCAGACCAGACGTCATTTTGTTCCGTTGAAAATCTAGTTAATAGTTCTGTACTTTTATTGTCTGCATTTATTTTATAACTTAATTGTACTTTCTGTTAGTTCTCATATATATTCTTGTTCAGATACCATTTTATATTCGCCATTGTTTTTCGTTTTCTTTTTTTTCTGTGACATTGTTTTCTTTCTTTATAATATTTCTCATGCTTTCTCCATTTTCGCGTACTACTACACCTTCTCCATTCTTTCTTTCCTTCTTCCTTCTTTTACGTCACCATCTTCATCATCATCATCATCTTCTTCTTCTTCACCATTTTCCTGCTCCTCCTCCTCTACCTAATTTTTCTGCTCGTCCTCTTCTTTTTCGTTTTCTTCTTCTTTCTCTTTCTCTTCTTCTTCTTCTTCTTCTTCTTCTTCTTCTTCTTCTTCTTCTTCTTCTTCTTCTTCTTCCTCTTTTTCTTCCTCTTTTTCTTCCTCTTTTTCTTCTTCTTCTTCTTCTTCTTCTTCTTCTTCTTCTTCTTCTTCTTCTTCTTCTCTTCTTCTTTTCTTCTTCTTCTTCTCTTCTTCTTCTTCTTCTTCTTCTTCTTCTTCTTCTTCTTCTTCTTCTTCTTCTTCTTTCTCCTTTTTTTTTCTTTTTCCTGTTCTTCTTCTTCTTCTTCGTAAATCTCTTTTTAAATATTCTTTCTTCGTTGTCCCTCCTTCCTCTAATTTCCCTAAATTTTACTATTTTTCTACTTTCTGTATGCTTAAGTTCTTCTACTCCTTATTTTCACGATTTGTTTCGTCTTATTTTACACTCTCCCTTCTTCCAACTCTCTATTCTTTTCCTCAGCTTGTGTCTTCTAGTTTGTTGTTCAATGTTTATTCGTCACAATTTTATTATTTTCTTTTCCTCAAGTCTCTTTACTGTAATGGTAACTTTTTTCAAGTTTTTCCACTGTTGCCATTTTTAGCCATTGTTCTCACGTAGTTTCTATTCTTATGACCGCCATCTACCTAGTCGCTTCTCTATTTTATTTTTTACCCTATTTACTCCTCTGCATATTCTATAGTCATCTTTATTATCCGTATTCCTTGTATTAATTGTCTTTTTTTCCCCCCACCAGTAATTATAACCACCATCATCGTCATTATCATCATCTGCCCTCTCTTATCAGCATCCCTCTTACCCCTTCTATAGTCGAATGCAGTGACTTTTAACTCTAATCATGCGGTTACACTTTAATACAGTTCCTCATGTTGTGGCGACCCTTTAATACAGTTCCTCATGTTGTGGCGACCCTTTAATACAGTTCCTCATGTTGTGGCGACCCTTTAATACAGTTCCTCATGTTGTGGCGACCCCCAACATATATTTATTTTCCTTGCTACTTTACAACTTCAGAGAATATGTGTTTTCCGATGGTCTTTGGCGATCCCCTGTTAAAGGATCGTTCGTCCAATAAAATGGTCGCGACCCACAGGTTGGGAACCACTGGCCTACAAAGTGGTACGAAAGAGAATACACACAAAATGAAAACGTTCTATGTCTTCATACAACTTCCTAAACAAGAACATACACATACACACACACACAAACACAACAAATGCCAACATACATGGGGTGGAATTCCACAAACGCCATCAGACATGGCGTAGGCTTCCTTAAACAAACACCATTGAGACATGGCGTAGGCTTCCTTAAACAAACACCTTGAGACATGGCGTAGGCTTCCTTAAACAAACACCTCCAGACATGGCGTAGGCTTCCTTAAACAAACACCTCCAGACATGGCGTAGGCTTCCGTAAACAAACACCTCCAGACATGGCGTAGGCTTCCTTAAACAAACACCTCCAGACATGGCGTAGGCTTCCTTAAACAAACGTCCTGAGACATGGCGTAGGCTTCCTTAAACAAACACCTCCAGACATGGCGTAGGCTTCCTTAAACAAACGCCACCAGACATGGCGTAGGCTTCCTTAAACAAACACCTCAAGACATGGCGTAGGCTTCCTTAAACAAACTCCACAAGACATGGCGTAGGCTTCCTTAAACAAACACCTCAAGACATGGCGTAGGCTTCCTTAAACAAACACCTCCAGACATGGCGTAGGCTTCCTTAAACAAACACCTCCAGACATGGCGTAGGCTTCCTTAAACAAACACCTCCAGACATGGCGTAGGCTTCCTTAAACAAACACCTCCAGACATGGCGTAGGCTTCCTTAAACAAACACCACAAGACATGGCGTAGGCCTCCTTAAACAAACACCTCCAGACATGGCGTAGGCTTCCTTAAACAAACTCCACAAGACATGGCGTAGGCTTCCTTAAACAAACACCTCCAGACATGGCGTAGGCTTCCTTAAACAAACACCACAAGACATGGCGTAGGCCTCCTTAAACAAACACCACAAGACATGGCGTAGGCCTCCTTAAACAAACACCACAAGATATGGCGTAGGCTTCCTTAAACAAACACCTCCAGACATGGCGTAGGCTTCCTTAAACAAACACCACGAGACATGGCGTAGGCCTCCTTAAACAAACGTCCTGAGACATGGCGTAGGCTTCCTTAAACAAACGTCCTGAGACATGGCGTAGGCTTCCTTAAACAAACGTCCCGAGACATGGCGTAGGCTTCCTTAAACAAACGTCCTAAGACATGGCGTAGGCTTCCTTAAACAAACGTCCTCAGACATGCGTAGGCTTCCTTAAACAAACGTCCTCAGACATGGCGTAGGCTTCCTTAAACAAACACCACGAGACATGGCGTAGGCTTCCTTTAACAAACGCCACCAAACATGGCTAAGGCTTCCTTAAACAAACACAACGAGACAAGATTCGAATTTTCCTAAAACAGAGACCACCAAACATGGCTCGAATCTTTTTCCAAACAAGACGACAAACACCACTAGACATGACTGGAGTTCTACACTTAACTACCTGGTCCTGCAGACCATCAATGTTGCTGAAGAACTCCAGAATGTTACTGCCTAAAATTCTCAGCACGCGGCCGTAGTCTCCAAGGCAGAGCTTGAAGTATTCACTGCCCATTGCGCGCAACACTGGTTCTTGCTCCATACCTAGTGACAGATCGGGACACAAGATGAGTCAGTGTTACGTACATGTGTGTGTGCGCGTGTGTGTGTGTGTGCGTGTGTGTGTCTGCGTGCGTGCGTGCGCATAATGAATCTACTGACCACTCAGTGAACTAGTCAATCATCCATGTCTGCACAATGAAGATTGGTTACACTTGATGTGTCAAACCTCTCTACATCTAATATAGAGATTAGAGAGGGATTCATTAGTTCTAGTGAATACAGGCTGAGGAAAAGAAGCCGGCATTGGATAAAACACGTACTGGGAAATTATATTAATAATATAATTAGAGTGTCCATGCAAGCGAAACTAGAGGGCAAAATATTAAGTGAAGTCGCAACAAACATAAACATAAACTCACACACACACACACCCGCGCCTGCCCAGCTGTCTGTCTGCCTAACTATTTATCTGTCGAGCCGTTTATCTGACTATTTACCTGTCTAACTAGCTTCCTGTCTGACTAGCTACCTGTCTGACTAGCTACCTGTCTGACTAGCTACCTGTCTGACTAGCTACCTGTCTGACTAGCTACCTGTCTGACTAGCTAGTTGTCTGTTTTGCTATGTATCGATATATATGTGTGTACATACACATATACACTCACACATACATCTATCGACCCATCCATTTTTCAAAATATTTGTCTGTGTAGATATCTACCCGTCTACCTGTCTAGCTATCTATCGTCTGTCTAGTAGTCTTGCTTGTGTTTGTCTAAACTGTTTCTCTTTCCCTAACGGCAGCTCCTAAATACCTTCCCTGACCCCTGGTCAGCACCCGTGTCCAGACTCACAGACTGCCCTTGACAGGAGCCTCTTACCTAGTTTCTTAGAAGCTTCCTGAGCCATGGCCACCAATGTCTGGTCACTAATGGACTGATGACGCAGGTTGGGGTCACTGAATGACCGCTGTAGCAGCTCATCCCCAAACAACTCACTCGACTCGTTACTGAAAGGCAAAATGTTAGTAGCAGTCAAACAGATCTAGGGGACAAAAGCAAAGTAAAGTAAAGGACTTTTTCCACGCCTTTAGGCGTATAGGGCATATAGGGCTAGACCTATATTTTTTACACTAATCGGCACAAGATGGGTGATGTGGTCAGCATCACGCCGGCCGCCTCTACTTCCTGGGACTGCACCCAGTACCCACTCAAGGCTGGGTCGACCTGAGAGCCAAGGTCATTTTGGACGGAAGTAATAATAATAATAAGAAGAATGTATAATTCTAAAGTATAATAATAATAATAATAATAATAATAATAATATAATAATGTAATAATAATAACATATTCATATAATAATATACAATTTATAAAGAAGAAGAAGAAGAAGAAGAAGAAGAAGAAGAAGAAGAAGAAGAAGAAGAAGAAGAAGAAGAAGAAGAAGAAGAAGAAGAAGAAGAAGAAGAAGAAGAAGAAGAAGAAGAAGAAGAAGAAGAAGAAGAAGAAGAAGAAGAAGAAGAAGAAGAAGAAGAAGAAGAAGGAGAGGAAGACGTAGCTGTAATAGAAGTGTTTGTCGCCACACATTAGTGTGTTGACTACAGTGTGAAGGTGTGTCGTGTGAACATTTCACTGTATGTTTATGTTATAACTGGTAGATTGTGTCGCGCCATCATCTAAAAGGCTCCGATGGCTAGTCTACACTTGGAAGATGAAGATGGTTAGAGTCTGTAAGGATTTATCATCTTGACGTCTCCTTTTTGTTGGTATACTTCCGTCTTTATTGACGATAGCGTCATACTATGCAATCGGAAGGCATAGGAATCAAAGCCCACGGCGGTGGTGAGTGTGACTTGCCGAACCTGCTGGTGTTAAACAAAATGTCTTTTACAATTATTATACGAAATTTCAGGAGCATTGCTGGTATCTACTGTGCTTATTCTCATCTTTTAGCCTATTTGCAATCATTTTCTCCTTTATTTACGAATCCATTTCAATACCAGTATCATTCATGTCTCTCTTGCATACATCTTTGTATGACAGTAGAGGTCGACTTCAAAATCTCCTACCCATCTACATTTTATCACTGGCGATGTTCATACAGACTCTAGTCATATCCATCATCCAAGTGTGATCTAGATATCTGAGCCTTTTAGATAATTTCGCGACATTTTTTTCCTAGCCAAGTAGAAATGACGGACACATACACCGATGTAACATCGAAATGGTAATAATAAAAAAAAAAGAGAGAAAGAAGAGGAGGAGGAGGCAGAAGAAGAGGAGGAGACAGAGAAATAATAATAATAATAATAATAATAATAATAATAATAATAATAATAATAATAAGAAGAAGAAGAAGAAGAAGAAGAAGAAGAAGAAGAAGAAGAAGAAGAAGAAGAAGAAGAAGAAGAAGAAGAAGAAGAAGAAGAAGAAGAAGAAGAAGAAGAAGAAGAAGAAGAAGAAGAAGAAGAGGAGAAGAAGAAGAAGAAGAAGAAGAAGAAGAAGAAGAAGAAGAAGAAGAAGAAGAAGAAGAAGAAGAAGAAGAAGAAGAAGAAGAAGAAGAAGAAGAAGAAGAAGAAGAAGAAGAAGAAGAAGAAGAAGAAGAAGAAGAAGAAGAAGAAGAAGTAGAAGAAGAAGAAGAAGAAGAAGAAGAAGAAGAAGAAGAAGAAGAAGAAGAAGAAGAAGAAGAAGAAGAAGAAGAAGAAAAAGAAGAAGCCTTTGCAGGTACTGAATTCTTTAATACAATGTTTCCTCCACCACTTTCATCATTTGCCACTTCCTTCACCACTGTCACCACTATAGCAAACGAAGGAAGAGGCGTAGGAGACGACTTAAAAGAAGTCTTGCCATGTTCTAAAATCATTCTTCACAGAGATCCCTCCAGCCATTCCTGTAACGAAATATAGGCAGAAAAGGGGTTAAATGAACAAGCATACATTTCAGACCACCACACAGCGTACTAATCCATCACTGTGTGAAATGACAGAAATAGGTGATTAGAAAGCCAGCTATGCAGAACACACCGCCATGACATCTGACAGTGAGGGATGAAACATTCGACGAGTGCCCGTGAACTGTGACCAGCGGATGAGATACGTTCATCCAGACGTGACCACCAAAGACAGGTGACAGAGAAGTGATGGAGAAGGTACGCCAGGAGGAGCGGGAAAGCGGGAATAGAGTTAGCCCCGGGACCGCTTGAGAGGTTAGTTAGCCCCGGGACCGCTTGAGAGGTTAGTTAGCCCCGGGACCGCTTGAGAGGTTAGTTAGTCCCGGAACCGCTGGAGAGGACAGTTAGCCACGGAACCGCTTGATAGGACAGGTTAGGAGAAAACTAGTGATTTACTTCGTTTAGAAGGTATATGTTAAACTTGGAGTTTAGCTAGAACAGTGGTTAAGGAACTCGTAGAGAGTCATACGAATAGCCTGTATCCAGATAATACAGTGTTCATATACTATTGAATTTATGAAGCCTCTATGACTGGAATATTGTAAATAAACAGCTCTTGTGTAATTGTTACATCACTGGCCTTGTTCTTGAGTACGATTGAAGAGAGATACGAACTATATTCATTCACTTGGCCGACTTAGGCACATCTATTTCTTGGGGGATGTATAGGCACGACTGTGCCACAAGTAATGTGGATATTTGGTGCCGTGACCAGGATAGTCTTGTTGACATCGACATCTTTAACAGTCAAGACTGCTGTAACAAAATACCAAATAAGCTACCGCAACAAAACGTGAACTAAAAGCACGTTGATGATAGTACCTGCTGAGAAAAAAAAAAAAAAACATTCGACAAACCCTTCATCAGATTGGAGAGACGTAAACCAGACCAACAGCCTGCACCACCTTTTGGAGCCAACCGTCTACACTAGAATCAGGGGGACACGCCCGTTCTAGCCTGGAGTAAACCGTCTACACTAGAATCAGGGGGACACGCCCGTTCTAGCCCGGAGCAAGCCGTCTACACTAGAATCAGGGGGACACGCCCGTTCTAGCCCGGAGCAAACCGTCTACACTAGAATCAGGGGGACGCGCCCGTTCTAGTCTGGAGCCATAATATAAACTTTTCCTAACTTTACACACTCGGAAGATTATAGGAAAGTCAAGAACTGTGAGCTGTCCGATTTTACAAATAGGAACTGCAAAAATACGCTAGATTTAGGTGGACAGATAGTTTAAATATATTGTGATTTTCAATTTACAGTGGTGTAGGGAAAACCTTTTCTTATCTTTCCCTACCTTTCCTATTAACTTAGAAAATAATTCCAGGACAGTGCCGATTTTTAATTACAGTGTGTTGTGAAAAGAGAAATTTTTTTTCAGACCGCACTCAACAAGGTAATACGACATTTTCTGTTTTAAATTCTATTTTAGTTTACATTAGTTAATTTTCCAGGTTTTAATAATGGCATATCAAGGAACAGTGAGAGCTCAGTTTAGCAGAGTTTTTAATGAAATAGCACAGTTAGGTAGAAAACTCCGTATTCCATTTTTTATAGAACAATCAACTGCTCAGCATTGGTCAACTGTAGATAGTCGTAGACAAAGACAGAGAGAAAGAAATTATAACATAGCTACAGTCACTAGAAGTAACGGCAATGTTAATCGACTGTCCGGTTCCCCAGACAGGCGAAATCATGCTAACGAGAGATTGCAATACCCTAGAGACAATCAGTACCGCAGACCAGACAACACAAGAGCGTACGAGAAAAATCAGGGTCAACTGAGGTCACAAATACGGAATGAACGAGGGCATTTTATAAATTTAGATAGAGCAGACAGGTTAAGAAAGTTAGAAAATAAAAGAAATAACAGAGCACATGAGCAGTGGCGTAATTTTGGTAACAGATATCAAAACATAAATAGAGAAGGAAATATCCATGATAATACCCGAAGTCGAGTCAGGTCATGTAATCCAGATTCCAGATTTAGCACGATGGGCACTAATCAAGATTACAGGGCCCACGGTACGACCCATAATCAAGCCAACAAATTCAAAAGAGACAGGTTAAGAAAATTAGGCTATAATAAGAATATAAGATTGCAAAACTTAGGAAATAATCGCGAGGTCAGTAACTATAACGGATTATGGCAGACAGGTAATAAAAAGCACGTGCGCTGCTGATGATGAGACAAATAGATTAGTAGTAAAAGGGTTAAAAGAGAGGAATCTCATGAAACGGTTTAATAAAAGCTACATTCAAGAGGTAAACGCGGTAGAAGTAAAAAGGCTAGATAGCAATAGCACACATAGGAAAGTAGAGAGAGTAGGGACAATTAAAGAAAGAAACCAGCAGGATTTGTCGTATAGACAGGTGATGCCTACAGAAGAAGAAGGTGAAGGAATAAATACATTACCGTTTGTAGTTAGTAACATAAAGGTAGATCTATTCTCAGAAAACTACGACGCAGATAGTGAAATTGGGATCACAAACAAAACGGGTCGTAGAATTTTAGTCGCGGTTAGAACCAGGACTAATACTCCGTCTAGTGTGAAAGAATTAAAACCGTCAGAAGTACTAGTTAACGGTATATGTAATCGTAGAAGTGGAGAAGAAGACACAGCAGAAACTTCGCCTAACAAAAGAGCAAAACAGGAGACAAGAATGTCGGGAATTAAAAATTCGCATACAGATTTAGACGAGCGGCATGGTTTACAGGAAAATAAAGATGCCAGAAAATCAAATGTATTAGATTTAAATTTACACGGAAATAAAAGTAGCCAGAAGTGTCGTAATGAAGTGGCATCTAACAAATATAGCAAAATTAATAAGATGTTCCGATGTATTGCTAACTTTTCATTTAACAAAAGAAAAAAAAACACAGATCATTAATAAGACAGAAGAAGAAATAGAACTAGAACAGTTAGCATCCACTACAGTTAGTAGGCCAGAATCACCAGGGGGTAGACTGAATTTATACCCTGAGTAAACCATACATTAATTACAGTCCCCCCCCCCCCCCCTCCCTTTCACCATGACTAACTGAAATGGGATCGTTCGTAAAATGGTTCAATAAATGTGGGATTGTAGGGTATATAACAAGTAATTCGATTCATTAATTACAATTAACATACGTTATATTGCCGTGTACAGAGGTACCGCGCTCGCTACACATATTCTGTTGTTGTGTCTACATGTCATTTGTCCGACAAGATTAAATATATATCGTTGTATTGACCTTACCATTTCATATTTACATTTGGTTTTACACTATGAACGTTTTTTTTTTGTTGTTGTGTGGTACTCTCCCGGACAAGTGAAAATCCACACGTTCGGTTGTGGGTGAAGATTACAATACCTACATGTTTTATGTTCGCTAAGAGAGTTACTGGCCACAAAACCTCTCTTATACATTCTGTCAGAATGACGACTGATTTGAGTTTAACCAGACTTTACTGAGGTACACAGTTAGAAACGTACTTGGCGATAAGCCAGTCCAAAGCATGACATGATCGGTAGCTGAATATAGGCCGGCTATTTCTTTACAGAAGATGCGATATGCATTAAACAGAGGAAGCAACCTCTTAGGGAAGCAACAATAAACGCTGTGGACTATCACAGTAGATAAATGCCTGTAAATACAGGTGGTGGCATTGTACATTCGACTTGAAGAAATGCTACGATTGTTTCCGAGAAATTTCTCTCCAATTAATATACCTAACGGTATAAGAATTAATTATTCTCTGTAAAGGTTATACCTTATTATTCAGTCTATGTTGACTTTCTCAGAGATTCTATTTTCATCCTTTCTTGGGGAGATGACATTTTCGAGTTTTATTTTATTGATAACTGGGGATACATGGCATGTCATTTCTTGTATACAATGTTTTCAGGTTTGAGTTTATAAAGGAGGAATACAGATACTATTCCTTTATACTTCAGACAACTCCGCACATTCATTAGGGATACCAGTGAATAAGAGGTCGTTATGCTAATACAACGAGGGAGTTGTATCGTTTTTTTTATGTCTTTAGAATTATTGACTATTAGTTATTGTATGCATGTCACGTTTTCATTATACTGCATGAATTTTATGATGTTACATGTTATGTTGTATGCTTTCATTAAGTGGCTAGATGTTCACATAAGGTTTAGTTAGGTAGCGGGTATAATTAGAGTAGTTTTTATAAAATTGAAGATAGGAAACAATTTTGTTAAAAAGTGTGAAGGGCGAATGTAACGAAATATAGGCAGAAAAGGGGTTAAATGAACAAGCATACATTTCAGACCACCACACAGCGTACTAATCCATCACTGTGTGAAATGACAGAAATAGGTGATTAGAAAGCCAGCTATGCAGAACACACCGCCATGACATCTGACAGTGAGGGATGAAACATTCGACGAGTGCCCGTGAACTGTGACCAGCGGATGAGATACGTTCATCCAGACGTGACCACCAAAGACAGGTGACAGAGAAGTGATGGAGAAGGTACGCCAGGAGGAGCGGGAAAGCGGGAATAGAGTTAGCCCCGGGACCGCTTGAGAGGTTAGTTAGCCCCGGGACCGCTTGAGAGGTTAGTTAGCCCCGGGACCGCTTGAGAGGTTAGTTAGTCCCGGAACCGCTGGAGAGGACAGTTAGCCACGGAACCGCTTGATAGGACAGGTTAGGAGAAAACTAGTGATTTACTTCGTTTAGAAGGTATATGTTAAACTTGGAGTTTAGCTAGAACAGTGGTTAAGGAACTCGTAGAGAGTCATACGAATAGCCTGTATCCAGATAATACAGTGTTCATATACTATTGAATTTATGAAGCCTCTATGACTGGAATATTGTAAATAAACAGCTCTTGTGTAATTGTTACATCACTGGCCTTGTTCTTGAGTACGATTGAAGAGAGATACGAACTATATTCATTCACTTGGCCGACTTAGGCACATCTATTTCTTGGGGGATGTATAGGCACGACTGTGCCACATTCCATCTCTACCGGACTTAAACATCCAACAAAACTCACCAAAATTAATTAGACCTGCAAATGAGAGAAACGATAACGATTACAGAAATACGTACCGAAGATGCTCCATTGCCCTAGGGTTGCTCTGGTTAACGAGATTTTCCACAGCACTGCGAACATAGAAATCCTGTAGAAAGAAGAAGCGCAAACATTCAACATTATTATTTGTATATTAGTAATCGATGGATACATTTCATTTGGACCTACGATCTTACTCTAGAAACTGTTGATTCATAATCGTGTGAATTGAATATCACGCCTAAACTGGTGCCTACATCTTTATGCTGTGGTGGTGCATGGGTTGTTAATAAATATTTATACATGTATTCATCTTATTAATGTAAGCGTTTTCAATTTCTTGATTCAATTTTGTTGCATGAATTGTGTAATGACTGGGGATGGGTTTTTGGGAGTTTTTGTTTTTGTAATACAGTGTGATTGTTTCATTTATAATTGTAGCGTGTTAAATTATGCATGTTGCCATGCTGTTACCTATGCAGCGTCGGAACTTGTTGCAGTTCTTCTTCTTTTTGATCTTCTTCTTCTTCGTCCTCCTCTACTACTTCTACTTCTACTACTTCTACTACTGCTACTTCTAATACTGTTACTTCTACTACTGCTACTTCTACTACTGCTACTACTGCTACTTCTACTACTTCTAATAATGCTACTTCTACTACTGCTACTACTGCTACTTCTACTACTTCTAATAATGCTACTTCTACTTCTACTACTACTTCTATTACTCTAATATATATATATATATATATATATATATATATATATATATATATATATATATATATATATATATATATATATATATATATACATACATTTTTACAGAGAGAAAGAGAGAGAGAGAGAGAGAGAACGAGACTGAGAGCGAAATCAAGATAGAGAAAGGACAGACACACACACGCACAACGTGGGAGTCCATATATATATATATATATATATATATATATATATATATATATATATATATATATATATATATATATATATATACATATATATATATTTACACACACACACACGCACGCACACATACGCACGCACGTACGTAAACACACACGTGCGCGCGCGCACACACACATATACATACATACATATACAGAGGGAGACAATAAAATAATTTTAGGCCAGACACAAGATTTGATTGCCCTCTTCGAGAAAATGGTTCGCCATGCTATTTTATACAACAACAAAAAGGAAAGCGAGATGGAACATGAGGTAAACAAAGAGCAAAAAAACATCGGAAAAACTACAACTGCGCGGTGTGTGTGTGATCGAGGTGACCAGAAGAGCCAGAATCAGAACCGAATACCTTCCTCGAGTCCCGAGGCAGTTAAAAAGTTAGCTGCCTATCCTTTACAGCAGCGGTTCTAAAACTGCGTGCCGTGGTCCCTGTGCTGCCACGAGCGTATGCCAGGGGTGCCGCGGCTATAATCAAGGAAAGTCGGCTAAGAATTGAAATTATTAAAGAAGGTATACGTTTTAGGACTAGTGATTTTCCACGAGGCGAATATGCCAGGGGTATTCCTTACCGCGGCGATATCCTGCAAAAAATATATTAGTTTCGGTGCTGACACACCTCCATGAATGCAACAAAGCTGTCAAGAATATTCGGCTAAGAATTGAAATTATTACCACATATTCCATTTTCCCTCTTCTCTACGGAATAGTGATTTTCACTATTTGTCCGAATACGAATAGCGAGACCAACTATTCGGCCGAAAACATTTGAGAACCACTGCTTTACAGGACGTCACAGAACGCGCTCCAGCACTTTCTCTAGGGTATTCCCGCCATTTTTGCGTTTACCAGTGCTTTCTAAGGGGTCAGCTCTGGATACCACTGCCCAAACAAACGTAAGACGTGCTTGCAGTTGCGATCGAACCGGCACCCCGGCTCCCTGGCACCCCGGCTCCCTGGCACCCCGGCACCCCGGCTCCCCGGGCAAACCGCCACCCGGGCACCCCGGCATTAAGAAACGAGTTCGTAACGCTCAAGCCTGAAACGCCAATGCCCGAAGTAGGAAAAAAGGAGAAGGCAGACAGACAGAAAAAGATACAGAAAACTGACATAAATAGATGGGGGAAAAATGGAAGAAAAAAATGGAAAGAATATAAAAAATACAGACATAAACAATAGGGAAGGAATTAAACACGTGTGACGTAGATAAAGACAAAAGGAGAAGGCAGACATAAAAAAAGTCAGAAACAAAAGAAGGAAAAACAAAAAATAGGGAAGAAAAGAAAAAAAAACAAACACAGACAAGATCAAAATGGGGACAAAACCGTATATATGGCACACACACAGACGTACAGAGACACACTGACATAGATACAGACCCCCAGACACACTGACATAGACACAGACCCCCCAGACACACTGACATAGACACAGACCCCCCAGACACACTGACATAGACACAGACCCCCAGACACACTGACATAGACACAGACCCCCAGACACACTGACATAGACACAGACCCCTCAGACACACTGACATAGACACAGACCCCCAGACACACTGACATAGACACAGACCCCCAGACACACTGACATAGACACAGACCCCCAGACACACTGACAAAGGCACAGACGTGCAGACACACTGACATAGACACAGACGTGCCGACACACTGACATAGACACAGACGTGCCGACACACTGACATAGACACAGACATGCAGACACACTGACATAGACACAGACATGCAGACACACTGACATAGACACAGACATGCAGACACACTGACATAGACACAGACATGCAGACACACTGACATAGACACAGACATGCAGACACACTGACATAGACACAGACCCCCAGACACACTGACATAGACACAGACGTGCAGACACACTGACATAGACACAGACTCCCAGACACACTGACAAAGGCACAGACGTGCAGACACACTGACATAGACAAAGACTCCCAGACACGCTGACATAGACACAGACGTGCAGACACACTGACATAGACAAACAACCACGTTGACACTCATGGACCAGGAACGACAGTGGCAACAGACAATATGACCTGGTTTCTATTCTGTCAGGTCCGCCCATCAGGCGACTTCCCGAATGGAACCGCCCACCCCCAGGGCACGAGTCCATTAATTAGGTTAACGGATAATTATCAGGTGTATAGACGCTCGTGGGAAACCATTGTAAGCCGCTTGATTTGTCACCAGATTTAGATGTGAATGGGACACAGCTGGAAGTCAAAGGTCACCGGAGAAAAGGAAGCTTGGGGAGGAAGAATAAAGTTGGTTGAAAAGGTAAAAAAGAAAAGAAAAATACAGTAAAAACAAAGAAGGAAAGAATTATAAACAATCATAGAAAACATGAAAGACAGGAAGAAACACAATGGGGCGGGGTGAAAAATTGTGATACATTTAGAAACAGATACGATACACGCGCAAGCGCATACACACGCACGCACACATACGAACATAAGTAAAGAAAGACACATACAGACCGATAGAAACACACAGACAATAAAGCCGAACAAAGAGACAGAAAGAAGAAGGAAAAGTAGACACTCGGAACAGAAAGACAAAAAACTATTTTTAAAAAAAACCACTAACTGGCAGAAACAAACGAAAACACGCAGAAAGAAAAAAAAACGAAAGAAAACAAAAAGTGAATGAAAGAAAAAAAAGAACATATAAAGGGGAGAAAACTAATACATGGGACAGACACAGTTTCGTAAACACACAGACACATAAGAGAGAAGATAGCTTGGAGAGAAAGAGCAAAGATAAAAGAACGGAAATAAAAAAATAAAAACGGGACCAACGATTGCATGCTGAGGTATTCGGAGATAACTTGAGGTTAACATCAGAGCTACGGTGTTTCGTGTCAAGTGCGATGTTCTTGCTGGGCAATCAGCAACTGACCTCTAAATAATTTAATGATATACATACAACGTTTCAGTTGACGGATTTCTGGTTTGTCTACTTTTTCTTTCATTTCTCCCTCTCTGTGGGTTTTAGATTAGAAGGCCACAGGTCTTTATGAAGGCTGTGGCGCAACGGCATCGGTGTCGCAATCTAGGAGCTGGGGTCCCTTCAGCCGTCCCTCACCACCCCCCCCCCCCCCACCACCAAGCTTTTAAGGAGTGAGCAGAGACCCCTTCACCCAATAATTAGCGTAAACTAATTTGACAAGACCATGGTGATACCATCATTAAGGTGGTGAGTTTTTACTTTTTTTTATTTGGGGGGGGGGGGGGGGGGGGGGGGGGGGGTCCACCAATGTTTTCTTATTAGGGGTGGGGGCTAAGGGAATATCTGGGCCCCCACCCAATTGTTTGCTTAGGTGAGGAAGAAGGTGTGGCTGAGGGGAGGGGGGGGGGCTAACACCCCCTTCCCCCCACCTCTGTGTTTTCGTAAATTATTATGGGTTTAGCTACCCCTTCTACCCCGCTAATGATAATTAGAACATTTGTAAGGCAGGGGGGAAAAGTTGGATTGGTGCGGCTGAGACCTCTCCCCCCCCCCCCCCCACACACCCACACCCAACTGTTAACTTTGGGGCGGCGCGCCGAGAACTGTGCATGTTCTCCACTGCCCCCACGGATCCATACAGCTACGTTTCAACAAAAATGCCAACTGGCCAGACCGCGGACCTGGCTACTGTGTGTAGAGAGCATATGTGTAGCCCATCTTCGCTATTATGTAGTGCCTGTTCACACTAGCAAAGTTCTGACTCTATAATATTAAATTTTGCTTGTGATGTATAAATACAAATACTACTAAACATACACAGAAAACAGGTAGAAAATGCACATTAAATACTAAAAAACTATATAGAATAAAGCAAAAAATTTGAAAAGATAGAAATAAAAAAATAAAATACTACAAAACAAATGATGGAAAATACGCCAGAAATATACTGCATCGAAAATACATAAAGACAGAAAATATACATAGAGTGCAAAATAAACTCTGGGTAGGTTGGAAGAGGGAAGGAATTGGTGGGCCGATGTAAACAAATGAATAATATACTCAGTAAATAAGCCGTCCGACTTTAATATACATCGATGCATTGGGAGGAAAATCCCACATTCCAGATATTCTGAAGCGAAAGTCATTTGGCAAAGTTCAA